TGCTGAACAAAATTGATTTCTTTGTTTCCTGACACTTCTTATTGCACATCATTACCTCATATTGTAATTTTTTTAATGTCTTTGTCCTTCAACCAAAGGCACTGGCACTGCCCATGTGCTGAACACTGCCTGATATGGAATGCACAAAGGGGCATCTACTCAGGTTGACTAAACAGAATGTAAGGTACCGGAGGACAGAACCTTGTTTCTCTCTTATTTCTCTTCAATTTCCAGTGCTTACCAGTATTTTCCACAGGAAATATGTGTAATGTTTATTTACTGCTATTAGTGGTAGTGCTGAAAGACAAATTAATTTCTTGTCCTAAAAATAAAGAAGCAAACTGAAGACTTGCAAAATTTACTCACCATATTTTGCAAAATTTTACTGGTAATTTAAATAAGGAAGCTATTACTGCTCCTCCTCTTGTTAGTGTTTTGTTTTTAAAATGTCATAGGAAGGCATTTTACCAGTAAAGCTATTAATACTTTAAACCCTTAAGGCTATTATTTAGATTGTTTCTGGGATTGTACAAGGAAGTAAATTAACCCTTTGAGTCATTTGTAGAATTAACAATGTTGAGAGAGAGAGAAACAGAGCAATGAGTGAACTTTCCCCTAAGTGCTGGGTCACTCTCCACATATCTAGATAGTCAGGATCTGATAAGGCAGAAGGTGGGAGCCAGTCACTCAATCCCATTTTCCTACCTGGGTGACAGGGACCCAAGTATTTGAGCCTTCCTTTGCTACTTCCCAAGGTGCACATTAGCAGGAAGCTAGAGTTGGGAACAGAGCTGGTACTTGAACCCAGGATGCTGAAATAAGGCGCAGGTATAACAAGTAGCGTATTAGCCACTAGGCCAAGTAGCTACCCCTTAATTTAACTTTTCATTAGGAAATTCTAATAATAACACACTGCCACACAAGTATCACACACTCTCATAAACACGTGGACATACTGTCAGAATCATGTAAGTTCCTAAAAAATTAAAAATAGAACTATCTTAATGATTCATCGACCCACTACTGGGTGTATGTGTCCAAAGGAAATGAAATCAGTCTATTGAGGAGACATCTGTATTCCCACGTTTATAGCAGCACAATTCACAATGGCTCAGAAATAAAAACAACCCACGTTTCTATTTAAAGAAAATGTATGAAATTTTATGTAAAATTAAAAAAAAATTTATTTATATGCTTATATACACATACAATGGAATACTATCCAACCCTACACAGTGTGATGTCCTGTTCTTTGTTGTGACAACGTGGATAGAACTGGAGGTCATTATGTTGATTATGCTTAGTAAAAATGGCAAAGAAAGACAAATATTGCCTGACCTCAGTCGTACTTGGAATTTAGAAAATTTATTTCATAGCAGTTTGGAGGAAAATAGTCCTGACAAGAGGCTGGGGAGGGTAGGGAGGAGAGAGGGACAGGTGTGGATGGCTACTAAGTCATAAATGGGAGGGAAGATCTGAGGTTCTGTTGCACAGCAGAGCAACTAGAGATAACAATGTATGTTCCAAAAACAAAAAGCAAAAGTCAAAAATATCAATTTTGATAGATTTTACCACAAAGAATAAAAAAAAAATGGTTATCCTGACTTGAACATATACAATATATACATGTATAAAGACATCACAAAGCCCTTTATAGAAGAAGCCAAAAAAGGAGATCTATGAAGTCACTCTTGCAAAAATGCATCATTTTGTGGCTTGGATAAGAAAAATGCAAATGAGTCCTTAAAGTGAGCATATTGCTTATCAACAATTAGTTAGCATATGCCAGAAGGGAAATGCAGGCATGATTTTAATGTCCCCAGCCAGTTGGTTAGCATGTTTCTTTCAGGAGTTAGGGCGAAAGGAGGGACGAGACTCACGGTACCCCCAGTTATGGAGACAAGGGTTGTTCCCACCAATAGGCTAAGGACGGTTGCTCTCCATGCAGTTTGTTTTCCATTCTCACCTCTGAGCCAAAGTAAGTCTAGGAGGAAGCCTCATCAGCAACCCATTCCACAGATGAGCAAACTGAGACAAAGTCTGTCAAGTGGCCACAGTCAGTGACACAGCCTGGGTTCACACCTCAGATCCTAGTACAGACTCCACAGCTTAATGCTTAACCCTCCTGTGAAGACATGATGAACAGTGGGGTAGTGGAAGGGACAGGGCTGGGGCTTGTGGAGAGAGGAGTGAAGGAGAGATGGGCAAGTGTAAGCTGCTTTGTGTTCTGCCTGTACATGAAGGAAGCGGTAGAGAGTAGGTGACAAGTGAGCTTATTTGTAATAAGGAGGATAACTCTGCATTGAGATAAAAAAATAAAGTAACATTGCATTCTCCCCAAATAAGTATGGTACCCTGGAGATTTCACGTCACCTTATTTGAAAGGTACTTGTAAAATTGTGAGGCAGGGTTGGTAGAGATAGAGAGACTTAATGGAAGTAACTACAGTCACCATGGCGCACTGGGGCACTGCAAAGTGTCTGCTCCTACTGCCTACTTCTGTCGGTACCTTACTGTCTGTCCCATGGCCTCTGTTTGGAGGCGAACAAAGGGCAGTCAAATCAGAGACAGCCTTCATGAGCACACACAGCTGCCACCACCTCGTTTGTTCCCCCCAAGGCTGCTCATTCCATGGTGGCCTCTGAGACACAGGAGCTGCCACTGCTCAACGCTGCTTCCAATAATCCCAGGACACAATCACCAGGGCCAAACAGAAGCTGCCCTGGGTCACTCCCTCTCCCCCCGAGCATGCTGCAGTGACAGGTGGAGGTCAAAGAGAAGAGGGTGGCATGTGCCACTAGGATGACACTGAGGTTTGGTTTCTGAAGCGAAGGAAAAGACACAACCAAAACTGGAAACCAAGGCCAGTAGAACCGGAGGGAGATGAGGCCTGGGATTAGGTGGTGCTGGTGCCAAATTGGACCTAGGTGACCTGGGTGCCTAGGTATGAATTAGCATTCACAGTTCTGCCTTCAAGTGACACTGCTCTGTCAATTGCAGTGCTCTGTCACTCCCTCCAAAAACCTAGCCTGGATGGTAAGAGATTCTAGTGGTCTCTTAGAAGAAATGGCTAAAACCAAAGTGACTTTTTGAATAAAGTTGTAAATGTTCCTGATTCAAGAGTGATTGCAACTGCTGGATCTTTTGAGGATGTTAACACTGTGCGAAGGAACTGAATGAGAAACACCTTTCAGGTTGCTGTGTGTTCCATCATCCTATGGGAGATTGTGAGCTTATTTTAACGAGCAGAACAAAATGGCTCTGGCTTACATTTTTAAGACTATTTCTAGACAAGGTTTCCAGTTAAGGAATGCAAGTGTTCAGGTCCTGTGGAATCATAAAAACTAGTCTTCAAAAACTGATGAGGAGGGCCCGGCATGGTAGCATAGTAGCTAAAGTCCTCACCTTGAATGCAACAGGATCCCATATGGGTGCTGGTTTTGATCCCAGCAGTCATGCTTCCCATTCAGCTCCCTGCCTGTGGCCTGGGAAAGCAGTCATGGACGGCCCAAAGCCTTTGGCTCTTGCACCCATGTGGGAGACCTGCAGGAAGTTCCTGGTTCCTGGCTTCGGATTGATGCAGCTCTTGCAGCCGCTTGGGGAGTGAATCATTGGATGGAAGATCTTCCTCTCTGTCCTCTACTCTGTATATCTGATTTCTGATAAAAACAAACGAACAAACACCCCCCCCTCCAAAAAAAAAACTGATGAGGAAGACTAGGGTAGTTAATGGAGTGAACAAGCATCATGTCATAAATGTTTTCTCAAGTGATTTTTAAGTACAGAAAACATTCATAATATTGGTTGCTCTCTGATCATCACCATTTTATTTACCCAGTTTTTGGATCCAGGAATTAAGAAGAAAAATAAGAATACTAATTTTTTCTTTTGGTAGCTCAATCCTTAACTAAAAATAGGAACGTGAGCATGATAGAAGCACAAGTAGAGATTTTTGTGTAAGACTCTGGAAGGGAGAATGTTTGCTGGCCAGCTCAATTTTTGACAAAGAAAAATGGGCTGCTCTTGCTTTTTGTACAAAGATGCACTGTTTCCAGAGAAACAAAAAAAAGGGGGGTGGAGAATTTCTGTTTAAAGTTGGAGAAAAAAACGAAGATTAATATCTAACATGATCATTCAGCATCAGTTTCTATGAACTGATTAAATATGTGACCTTTTAAAAAAAAATACAACTTAGTAACAAGGCGTTAAAATACTAAAATCTGGAAATCTTAACAGCAAGCTTTAAATTTCATGGATAATAACTTGTCATTAAAGATTACAGTTCTTTTTAAAACCTGCTTTGTCCGGGCAGTTGTGTTGTTCTCTAAAGTTTCCCAAAGAAACGAGGCAAAGTGTTTGTGAAATCAGGCTGCCTCCGCTCCCTTGCTGGAGCTGCCATCTGGACTTGTTTATTTGTGTTTCCAACTTTATGGAACAGAGCGTTTCTCTGTTAGGGACAAGGCACCAAGCAAAGGAAGTGTCTTACAGGAGGCCACCATTCACTCCCTTCTTCTTTTCAAACTTCAAGTTTGATCTGATCAATATGACCAAATGATTAGCTCACATAATCACAAAATGTAACACGGGCAGCAACCTCTGAATCGCCTGAACAAACACTCCTCCACAGTGTGATGCAAGCAGTATTCCTACAGGCTTCTTTCTCGTCCCTTTCACATCTTTTTCAAAGCACAAACTGTCAGCAAGGCTTTTATAGCTATTTGGTCTGGGAATCAAGCATATCTCATGGATCCTTCTACAAAAATAAGTATTCGACTTAAAAAAGAGAGAACTGTTCTCAAGCAGTTTTTCTAATTTTATACAGTACAGATGAAACATGTTACAAAAAAGGAAAATTCTTTCCAAATACAATTAAACAAAGCATGGCTAGACTGATCATATCTATGAAAAAAAGTTTAAACATTTGCAAATTGACACTTAAAAAAAATTACTGATCTCTTATCTTCGGCACACTTAACAAATAAAACAGAAACAAAAAGTACCTTGCAATGTAAGATCCAGCAATACATATTCGTAAGCCAATTCTGTCTTTGTTTCCACTTGTGGTCTCTTCAGAGTAGAAAATATTTTTCCAGGGCTGCTATCATCAGGATCTTCCAGCTTTCTAAGTCCGCACCCCATGGCAAAATCTGTAAGGAATTAAACTGCAGGAAAGGGGAGGTGAGGCAGCAAATTCTGTCCTTTAAGCTCCAAAAAGAAAGTTACAAACTTAACTGTTTTGATTTCGTTTCCAGCTAAATCACAAATACCCAAAAAGAAAACATTTGGGCACAAAGAAAGGAGCTGGAGACTTTTACTATCCATTTTTCTGTAAAGTCATTGAACCCATGATTACGGCTCTGAGAGGCTGGGCTTGGTTTTAGAGAAACACATGCAAGCTGCTACAACTTAGCGGAGAATTTCCATGCCACGTCAATTTCCAGCCAGCCCCCTACCAGAGTTCTGTGGCTCAGAGCACCAACAGAGCTTTGTCTGTCCCAGCTGGCCGGATAATAAAAGAGGTGTCCAAAACAGAAACAAAAATGCAAAAGTGCAGTTCGAAGGTAACGATTTGCCAGTAGAAGGTGTGTACAGACACAGACTACACAAATCTTTTTCTGTTTTCTTTCTTCCCTCTGTCCTGTGCCCAGTCTCCTTCCCCCGCTACTACTAAGAAAGCAAAAGCAGAGGCAGAGGCAGAGGGAGAAGGAGGTGCAGGAGAGGGGAGGAGGTTCGTGGCTAGTAGAGGGTGGGGGTCACCGTTGGGGGGGATGTGGAAATGGATTGTCAACATGGTTGGCAACAAAAATCACTTCCAGGAGGGAATTTGGCTTTATGAAGAAGCTGTTTTCTGGTGTCTAAAAGGAGAAAAATAAAGTTAAAGAAAAGGTGGTTTAATATTTAGGTAGTGTTTCTGAGGATTTATTGTCATACAACTTTTTTTTGGTAGACAAAATATGCTAATTAAAACTGTCAAGTGCAACAAATTTATACAAAATATTTTCATAAGAGGTTTTTATTTAATGGCAAAGGAGAGGCAGTTGTGTGAATAATTAATTTCCCCAACATCCTTAAAATAGTTTAAATTACTCTGCTAGTTAGAAGGCTTATAAAAACTGGCCTTGTTGTGATGGAACGAGTAAAGCCATTGCCCTTGGTGCCAGTGGGTCGCTGGTTCGTGTCCCATTGAAGAGAACTCATGAAACCTCAAAAGGGAGATGTATTAGTTTCTAGATCATTACTAGTTTTGGGCTCTTCCTTCTGATTGCCTGCACATGTCTTATTTTTCACAGGTGTTTTGTTTATTGAATTTATTTGAACAGAGGGAAGAAGGGAGCGATGGAGGGGAGAGTGTACCCCCATCTGCTGCTCTACTGCATAAATGCCTAAAACAGCTGGAGCTGGGTCAAGTCATAGTCTGGGGCTTCTCTGCAGGTGCTGAATGTCCAGTTACTTGGACCAGCACCTGCTGCTTCCCAAGGTGGGCAATAGCAAGAAGTTAGGGTCAGGCGCCTGAGCCAGGCATTGTGCCCAGATACCTTACGTAGAATGTGAGCATTCCAAGTGGAATTTTAACCACTAGGCAAAATGCCTGAACCTCCCAAGTTTTTTTTTTTTTTTCAGTTTTATTTATTTTTTATTTGAGAGGCAAATTTACAGAGAGGAAAGACAGAAAAAAATCTTTCATCAGCTGGTTCACTCCCCATCTGGTCACAATTGCAGAAGCTGAGCTGATCCAAAGCCAGGAGCCAGGAGCTTCTTCTGGGTCTCCCATGTGTGTAGGGTCCCAAGAACTTTTGCCATCCTTTGCTGCTTTCTCAGATCACAAGCAGGGAGGTAGATGGGAGGTAGAGCAGCCAGGACATGAACCGGTGACCATATGGGATGCTGATGCTTGCAGGTAGAAGGATAGCCAATTGAGCCATTGCATTGAAATCAGTAAATCTTTTTTTTTCCCCCTTAACAAAACTTGTTTGAAATAGGCAAGTACCATCAGTTTGCATCGTAGAGTGGAGTCTGCTTTAAAGAGGATGGTTTCAATTGAGGCAAGAGAAGAGGGAAATGCTACAAGGTTACTGTAACTGTCCAGTTGGGAGCTGACTACCTACTGAACAAATGTGGTGGTGCATCAGGAAGTCCCTAAAGAATTTCTTTCACCATTAGTAAAAGAAACTAAAGGTTCCTTAGGTTTACAATTAAGCAATCACGTAGACATTCTTATCCTCTAAAATTCCAACAGAATAAAATTTTATCTATACCTTAGTGATATTTCAAAACCACACTTTCATTTATTAATACGCAAATCTATGCTGTCTGAACAATGGTGGTCAGCTTGCCATATATTAGGGTATAACCATCCACACATTCAAGCAATTGGGCATATGAGATATTGGGAAAAATTCATTTGTACCATACATGTGCAGGGTTTTTCTTACTATTTCCTGGAAAGTGCTGTATAGCAGCTATTCACATGACATTTGCATAGTGTCAGGTGTTATACTTAACCTTTTGATGACTTCAAGTGCAGGGGAGGAGGTGCACGGGTTACCTGTAAGTGGTATCACATTGTATGCCTTGAGCATCTGTGGGCTTTGGTATCCTCATGAGTCCTGGAACCAATGTCTTGCTTCTACCTGGAGATGGCTATAGATGGATTTCACTGTATTAAACACAATGTTTAACAAGTAACATTGGTTATTTTCAAATTTTTACTGTGAAGATGTTTTGTAACGATCATCTTTCCTCCCCCTCCTTTGAATTATTTCCTGAATACTTAGATTCCACTTAGTAAATGGCCAAATAATTTGCATATGAGTAAATAAAAAAGCAGTAAGTACAGAAAATACATTCTAATGACAGAACAATCATTTGTATTACTTATATAAGCATGTGATTGACAATAAAGCTGTTTAAGGTACTAACCTCATATATTTATGGCTTATTGTTGTAATTACATATTTTGTCTTATATTTCTTTAATGACTATAAATTTGTTTTTAAAAAAAGATTCATTTGGGGCTGTAGGTTTGGCACAGCAGGTTAGGCCACCATCTGCACTGCTGGCATCCCATGTGAGTGATGGTCTGAGACTTGGCTGTTATACTTTTTTAAAGATTTATTTTTATTGGAAAGGCAGATTTCCAGAGAGAAGGAGAGACAGAGAAAGATCTTTCATCTGCTGGTTCACTCCCCAAGTGGCTGCAACTTACAGGTCTCCCATGCAGGTGCAGGGTCCTAAGGCTTTGGGCTGTGCTCAACTGCTTTCCCAAGCCACAAGCAGGTAGCTGGAAGGGAAGTGGAGCAGCTGGGACAGGAACCGGAGCGCACATAGGATCCCGGTGTGTGCAAGAGGAGGACTTTACCTGTGGGAAGTGCTCTGCTACCTGGTGGGGGTGGCCTAAAGTTTACTTCCCTGTGGCCTGAGGCACAGCTCCCAGGCCGACAAGTGGAGTGTGACCTCCACACGGCTAGAAGGTATGCATGGAATATGACCAGAAGATCAAGGGAGGCAGACAGGCCTTATAGCCAATGACTGTGTCTTCGATGGGGGCAATCTGCCTTCCCCTTTTTTCTCCTTTAAAAGCTGTAGTCTGGCATAATAAAGTAGACATTCCTCACCAGCTTGTCCCAGGTGGTTCTTGCAGCCAATGGACACCGTTTGCCTCACCCTCAGTGATCTTGGGGCCTGCTGACAGGCCTAAACTCTGAGATTTACCCACTAGGCTACTGTGCTGGTGCTCCACTTCTGACCCAGCTTCCTGCTAATGAGCCTTGCAAAGTAGCTGATGGGTCTGGCACAATAGCCTACTGGTCCATACTCACATATTTATGTTTCTTTTCTTTCTTTCTTTCTTTTTTTTCCTTTCTCACTAAACTTTAAGGGTCTCAGAATGATGTGACATATTTTTGGTCAAGTTGTTTCCACTAAAACGTACTGATTTTAAAAACTAATAACTTAAAACTGCCACACACAAAAAATAAATGGTCCACAAAACATTCTCCTTTCCTTATGAAGGGTTTACGATGCATTGTTATCATACCAGTCTTTTTTTTTTTTTTCATTAACCAGTCTTTTGCTGGTAAACTTAAATGGCTAAATCAGAGAAACAGTTCTGAGACCATTCTTCCACCATTGATTAAGACAGAGGTGGCAGGGTTTAGGAATAATATTCATTTAGCCTTCTGATATTTCTGGGCAGACTTGGTGACGTTGCTGGCTCCAGTAGCCTTCTTGCCCACTGCTTTGATGACACACACAGTAACTTTCTGTCTCATATTACGGACAGTGAAACGACCCAGAGGAGGATAGTCAGAGAAGCTTTCAACACATGTGAGCTTGCCAAGGACCATGACAATAATGGCAGCATCACCAGACTTCAGGAAGTTAGGGCCATCTTCCAGCTTCTTTCCAGAATGATGACTAATCTTATCCAGCACAGAGACATTCTCAGCACTGATTTGTCTTGGATGGTTTAGCAGATCACCTGAGCAGTAATGCTAGCTGCTTCCATTGGTGGGTCATTTTTGCTGTCACAAGTCCTGGTGCCACAACATCTTTGACTGACACGTTTTTGACATTGAAGCTCACGTTGTCACCAGAAAGAGCTTCACTCAAAAGCTTTGTGGTTCATTTCGATGGACTTGACTTCAGTGGTGACGCTGACAGGAGCAAAGGTTACCACCATGCTAGATTTCAGAACACCAGTCTCCCTTGGCCCACAGGCACGGTACCAATCCCACCACTCTTGTTGACATCCTGCAGGGGCAGACACAGAGGCTTGTCAGTTGGCCTAGTTGGTGGGAGCATGCAATCCAGGGCTTCCAGCAGTGTGATTTCACTGGCATTGTTGTGTTTGCGAGTGACTTTCCATCCCTTGAACCACGGCATGTTAGCACTTGGCTCCAGGATGTTGTCACTGTTCCAACCAAAGATTGGCACAAATGCTACTGTGCCAGGGTTGTAGCCAATTTTCTTAATGTAGGTGCTGAATTCCTTAACAATTTCCTCGTTTCTCTTCTACCTGTAGAGTAGTTCAGTGGAATCCATTTTGTTAACTTCAAGTATTAGTTATTTCACACCCAGGGTGTAAGCCAGAAGGGCACGGTCATGGTCTGCCCATTCTTGGAGATGCCAGCTTTGAATTCTCCAACCCCAGCAGCAACAATCAGGATGCACCATCAGCTTGAGATGTGCCAGTAATCATGTTTTTGATGAATCATGTTTACTATGTGTCCTGGGGCATCAATGCTAGTCACATAATACTTGCTGGTCTCAAATTTCCACGGGGAGATGTGGATGGTGATATCATGCTCACTCTTGGCTTTCAGTTTATCCAAGACCCAGCCTCGCTTGAAGGAGCCCTTTCCCATCTCAGCAGCCTCCTTCTCGAATTTCTCAATGGTTCTTTTGTTGATGCCACCACCCTTGTAGACCAAACGGCCAGTAGTGGTAGACTTGCCCGACTCAACATGTCCAATGATGGTGATGTTGATGTGGGTCTTCTCCTTTACCATATCGGCTTTGATTTAGTGCTGATTTTCATGGAAACTTTGTTCTGGTAGCAAGCCCACTGTGAAAAAATTTTATACACTTGCATTCAAAAATTTTCTGCTGCTCCATTTTGTCCTTATAAATAATTTATGTTTCTTCAATAGCATATTTCTCTTTTGGAACAAATCATATTTTCTGTCCCCCCATGCCAGGATTTTAAAACGCTAATACATTTTAGAGCAGATTTAGGTTTATAGCATAATTGAACAGCAAGTACAGAGGTTTCCTATATACTCCATGTTTCCTCACACACAAGCCTTGTCCATTAAAAAAACCCTCCCCAGAGCAGTGCATTGATTATATCTGACTAACCCATGCTGAACTGCCATCACCACCCAAAGCGCATAGCTGATGTTAGGGTTCACTGCAGGTGTTGTACATCCTTTAGGTTTTGACAAATGTATAACAATGTGTCACACAGGGTGGTTTCACTTATCCTCTGTGCCTTGCCTATTCATCCCTTCCTCATTTGTTACTTTGATCCATCTGGCAATTGTAACTTAGGTCTCTTCCACCTTTATTTTCAAGTGTTAACAACCAGTTATCTGCGTAGGGAAATTCTTACACCAATTATTTTTCACCAGGCTTGTCACATACTGGGTATTTAGAGTAATTAGGATCAATTTTTACAAAAATGTCTTCTAACATCACCACCTCTTTCTGTAATAGATTCCGTTTGTTAGTGGTAATTTCAAGGATAACTTTCAATTCTCTGTTGTCATTAGGGTTTCTTCAAGTGCAGATTTCTTAGGTGGTTACATACCATGGAAATAAATTCTCATTTCTCTCCTATGTTGCAATAGGGGCTCACTTTAGCCTTGAGTGAACTTATGAAAAGGTTCTCCATACTTGGTAGCAAACTATTTTGGTAATTAGTAGGCAAATTTGGAATACCTGAGTTCACCAAAGTGCTAGAGCATCTAAGACAAGATCACATATCAGCCAATATATTCCTCACAGAGGAAAGTTTTTGTGTAACAGTAATCTTTAAATCCAAACTATTTTATGTGGATGCTGCTCATAAGAGTAAGTTCAGCAATAATTCAAGTATTTCTTCTACTATTTATGCAAAGCACCATGAGGACACAAATATGGAAAGGCCGTATCTTATGATTCCTAGAATTTGCAAGCTAGTAGATCAACTTTGAGTTTTGACCATTTAATCTAGTTTCATAATATAGTTAAATTCCCGAAGAAGTTAGTGATTTTTTGAAAATATTACTTATTGAGAAAGCCTTTTTCTAATGGTTATCACATACTTAATAGTTACACAGACTCAAATTTCCATTTTCATTTTTTATTTGGTTCTATATTTTGGCTTGTCTGTGTCACACATTTTAAAAGTTTATGGCTTTATAGTTTTTCAAGGTATAGTAGTTACAATAATATTTTACAAAAACTTTATTGACTGTGCTTAATTATTTTTCTAGATCAGTAATTTTCTTTCTTTCTTTTTTTTTTTTTTTAAGATTTCATTCTTATTGCAAAGTCAGATATACAGAGAGGAGGAGAGACAGAGAGGAAGATCTTCTGTCCGATGATTCACTCCCGAAGTGACCCTGTCCTCAACTGCCTTCCCAGGCCACAAGCAGTGAGCCAGATGAGAAGCTGGACTGCTGGGATTAGAACCAGCACCCATATGGGATCCTGGTGCATTCAAGGTGAGAACTTTAGCAGCTAGGCCATCATACCGGGCCCAGTAGTTTTCTTCTTTTAAACATTTACTTTTTATTTTTATTTGAAAGTGAGAGTTACAGAGAGGAGGAGACAGAGTCTTCCATCCACTGGTTTATCCCTCCAATAGAAGCAACGGCCAGAGCTGGGCTGGTCTGAAGCTAGCAGCCAGGAGCTTCATCTGGGTCTGCCAGAGGATGCAGGGGCCTCAGCACTTGAGCCATCCTCAGCTGTTTGCCCAGGCCATAAGCACAGAGCTAGATGGGAAGTGGAGCAGCCAGGAGTCAAACTGGAGCCCTGAGATGAGTAGCTCTCAAACTATGCATAGCACAGCCTTTGGTTTTAGATAGGTACCAGTTTTAGAGAAGGCAGGGGATTTTGATCTGTGAGGCAGGCCAAAGAGACAGGGTTCTGGATACTGTTCCATGCTTTTTTCAAACACAGATGTTTAGCATTTACCAGTTTCATATACCAACAACAAACTACTTAAAAAACAATTTTCAGAGACCAACATCATTATACACTGCAGTTTCTACACAAAAATATTTTGTTGAAATACTGAAGCACTGATTCAGAAGTGGTGGAGGTGGCAGGAGGGAAGTAAGAATTTCTGGAGAACTGAGTCTCCCCTTAACCTGAATTTATATCCTATTTCTGGATGGGGCTGCACATACCAGCATTATCTGTCCTTCTCTTGCCCTCTTAAGCTGCTACATCAAACACAGCACATCAACTGAGTATCCAAAGGATGTTTGTTTGGCTTTTTGTATTCCCTGCAGAGAATTCACTTGGTTCATTTATCACCACAGGAGTCAATTTATCAGATGCCTCGTGTCTGTCTTCCCATATTATTGTGCATAATCAAAACATATATAACTATATGCAATAACAGAGCTGAATCTTAGTAACAAAATGACTGAATAAAAGGCAAATGAGGACAACATGTTTAAATGCAAGCAACATTAAGCAATATGTGACTTAGACCTGCTACTCCATATGTGGTAACATGAATGCATAAAATTCAGGACAGGGATTATTCGTAGAAGACAGGAGGACAAGGAGAAGACTAGCACACATTCCCGAATCACTGGTAATCTTCCAGATCGGTGATTCTTGAATTTTAGTGCATATCAGAATCACCTGGAGAACTTTTCATGAAAACCCAAACTGTTGGGTCCCACCCTAGGGCTTGATTCAGCAGGAGTGGCACTAGCTCTAGGAATACACATTTCTAACCAAGTTCCACTGCCTCTTATGCTGTTGGGAAAGCACTTACAGGTCTTGCATTGCGAGTTCACAGATATTCTGTTTCATTTTTATTAATGTAATGCTACTTAATCAAACATTACAATTTTATGCTGTTTTTCATAAGTGATCAAATGTAATGAAAGAAAATAGCCAAATTTTAAATTTTCTTCCCTTTTCAAAAAAAATTGTAGTAGCAAGATGCAGCCTACATATACAAGTATTATAAAAGATTCTCAAAAAATTTTTTGCTTGTATTTTATATAAATACAAAAATGTAATTATGCCCTTAATGACTTGAAAAAAGAAAATCCATCATTAGAATGAAAACATTGCAACTGCAAAGCAAAAGAGCAAAACTGTGAGTATATGAATTTGAAACCAATCTGGAGTCCTGAGGTCTAGTCTAAGGAGAGTCACAACTCCTTCCTAAAAGCAGGCAAAAAACCCACTGTTCTGGAAGAACATTCAGGTCAGTTTAAAATGAACTACGTTTGAGGAATAACTCAGAAAATGAATTTGTACTAATGCACGAATGGCCTCCCTAGCTCCTGTCACCTTGGGTAAGGACTTGTCCGCAGAGCTACCTCCTCAAGAACTGACAAGGATTCCCCTTCTGAGTTCTTCAGGTGTTCCGGTGCTTACTCTCTTCTCTCGCCCTTCCTCTCTACCAGACCCGTCCAGGTTCTGAGATAAAACCTGGACGCTGTCTCAGAGGCCGACCAGGGCCCAAGCGGAGGTCATCCTCCGTGTCCCGCTCTACGCCAGCTACTTCTGCCAATGCCTGAAGGAACACTCCTGTCACCAGCAGCTCAGCCTAGAAGGGGAGGCCGGTCCATAGGGATGAAATCACAGCTCAGAGCAGGACACTGAGGACGCCATCTCCCAGCACGCTCCGACAACCGCCCACCACACAGCTCGGCCGGACGCCGTTGAGCGCCTCCCGCGGCCTCGCCAGGCGGAAGGAGAAGACGCGGGCCCCGGAGGCGCTCGCGGGGGGGCGTGGCCTTCCCGCCGGAAGCGGCGGCGCTGCGCATGCGCTCCTCCCACGTGCAGCCGGGACGCCGCCTCCGCCGTTTCGGGCCGGCCGGCACCATGCTGCGAGCGTCTGTGCTCCTGCTGCGGGGGCGCCGGGCGAGCAGCAGGAGTTCTCTCCCGGCGTGCTCTGGCCGGCGACACTACGGTTCGAGTTGCGTTAGCGGCGGCGACGGTTCTGGGGATGCGCGCGCCTACTTCACCACCCCTATTTTCTACGTGAACGCGGCGCCGCACATCGGGCACCTGTACTCGGCACTCCTGGCGGACGCCCTGTGCCGCCACCGTCGCCTCCGAGTTCCCAGCGCCACCGCCCCGCGACTCTCCACCGGGACCGACGAACACGGCCTCAAGATTCAGCAGGCGGCAGCCGCGGCAGGCCTGGCCCCCGTCGAGCTGTGCGACCGAGTCTCTGCCCAGTTCCAGCAGCTTTTCCGGGAGGCTGGCGTCTCCTCGACCGACTTCATCCGCACCACGGAGGCTCGGCACCAGGTGGCTGTGCAGCACTTCTGGGAGGTACTCAGGACCCGGGGGCTGCTCTACAAGGGGCTCTATGAAGGCTGGTATTGCGCCTCGGACGAGTGCTTCCTGCCTGAGGCCAAGGTCACCCGACAGCCAGGCCCGACTGGGGAGTCGTGTCCTGTATCTCTTGAGAGTGGGCATCCCGTGTCCTGGACCAAGGAAGAAAACTACATTTTCAGACTTTCCCAGTTCCGGGAGCCACTGCAACAGTGGCTGCGGGACGACCCTCAGACCATCACTCCTGAGCCATTCTATCGCGCGGTCCTTCAGTGGCTGGAGGAGGAGCTGCCAGATCTGTCTGTGTCCCGCAGGAGCAGCCACTTGCATTGGGGCATTCCGGTACCCGGGGACGATTCGCAGACCATCTACGTATGGCTGGATGCCCTGGTCAACTACCTCACCGTAATTGGCTACCCAAATGAGGAGTTCAAATCTTGGTGGCCAGCTACCTCTCACATCATAGGTAAGGACATTCTCAAGTTCCACGCCATCTATTGGCCTGCTCTCCTCTTAGGGGCTGGATTGAGCCCACCACGCCGCATCTGCGTCCACTCCCACTGGACGGTGTGTGGCCAGAAGATGTCCAAAAGCTTGGGCAACGTGGTGGATCCCAGGACTTGCCTTGAGCATTACACGGTGGATGGCTTCCGCTACTTTCTTCTTCGGCAGGGCGTTCCCAACTGGGACTGTGACTATTACGACGAAAAGGTGGTGAAGTTGCTGGACTCGGAGCTCGCAGATGCCTTGGGAGGGCTCCTGAATCGGTGCACGGCACGCAGAATAAATCCTTCTGGGACTTACCCAGCCTTCTCTTCTGCCTGCTTCCCCAGTTCCCCAGGCTTGGTGGGGCCTTCCGTCCGGGCCAGAGCAGACGACTACGCTCTGGTGAGCGCAGTGGCCGCTTTGCCCAAGCAGGTCGCCGACCACTTTGATAATTTCCAGATCTATAAGGCTCTGGAGGCAGTGTCTATTTGTGTCCGGCAAACTAACGGTTTTGTTCAAAGACATGCACCCTGGAAGCTGAGCTGGGAGAACCCGGTGGATGCGCCCTGGCTAGGTACCGTGCTTCATGTGGCCTTGGAATGTTTGCGTGTCTTTGGAACTTTGCTCCAGCCTGTCACCCCAAACCTAGCTAACAGGCTGCTGTCCAGGCTGGGGGTGTCTGCCGCAGAGAGAGGCCTTGGAAAGCTCTCTTTTTTGCCTCGATTTTATGGACGCCCATGCCCTTTTGAGGGCAGGAGGCTGGGACCTGAAACTGGGCTTTTGTTTCCAAGACTAGATCAGTCCCGGGGTTGGCTGGTGAAAGCCCACAGGACCTAGAAACTGTTCTTAAAAGACTTGTTAAAAACCAAAAACAAATGTGTTCTGTTATTTTCAGGAAAGTTACGCTAATGTTTTTAAAATGTTGCATCGTATGAGCCCCCAAATTGTCCCTGTGAAGAGCTGGCAGCCCTTCCGGTTCCTGATCTGTGTGTATTCCTCTGTGCTGGTTAACCACTCTTCATTGCACACCAGTGTATCAGATGGAACTGTCTCTCCTTCCAAACTGTAGTTACTGGCTCTACCTCTCCTGGCTTCTGCCACTCAGGCCGACTGGGATGTGTAGTGACTCTTTTATTCAAAGCAGGGTTTGGTGACCACCTCAGCCTTTTCATATTCATCCTTTACATTTCTACAGCCAGGAGCCCATGCTTGTTAGGTCAGTCTTAACAGTTGTTTGGTAACATCACAGTTCGACCAGCAGATGGCGCTAGTCTCATTTAATATGAAGTTTCAGACTAGAAGGGTGCTCTGTCTTGTGGTTTTTATGAATTTTCATTGTCGTAAAAGAAGAGGTAGCTGCTTACAACCACTGCAATACAAAAGTTCCTCACTTTCAGACGACTACAAACAATATTCACTGTTGAATGTTCAAGTAAGCTTGTATGTTGTTTATGTGATAAACAATGAAGTACACGGTATGTTAAGGATTTTAGGCTTCAGTAACATTGTAGATATGTAAATGATTCAAAAAGGGAATGTTTTCTTTTTTAAGGCTTAATTTTTGTCCTTCACAATTTACCTCATGTGACTTCTTTTGATCTGTTAGGATCAATGATGTGGTATAGAAATTGTCCAGTAATTGTCAAACATGTTAATATGTTTATGTTCAAGTGATTTTTGCTGATGATTCTTTTGTTCCTTAACTTATTAAAGTCTAAAGGCTTGTAAGTACTTTATTCAGATCTGTTCTGTTGCATTTGTTGAAGCTGACAGTGATAGGAGCAATTGGTCAGTGCTCCTGGAACCTCAAAGTGGATTTAGGGAACTTTCCAAGGTTCTATAGGAAACACCAGAGAAAATCTTACCGATTTATAAAATGCCTACAACATATTAAGCCAGTGTTACAGGTGACTGGGCTGCTAGGCCAGAGTTTAAAATAAAAACTTGCTTGAAATATCTATCCAAGCCTGGCAGCAAGCAGACACAAATTACTAAATAAACTGCTACGCTGACAGTCTCCTGCCCTTATTATTGGCACCACTATTAGCTAGCTTTTCAGTTTATTAATTAGCACGGTGAGAGGTTTCCAGTTGTTTGGAAACACTGCTTTTAAAAGAATGCTTCGGGGGGAGGGGGGTGCCTGATGTGGTAGTCTAGTGGCTAAAGTCCTTGCCTTGCATGGGCCGAGATCCCATATAGGTGCCTGTTCTGATCCTGGCGGCCCTGCATCCCATCTAGCTCCCTGCTTGTGGCCCGGGAAAGCAGTTGAGGATGGCCCAAAGCTTTGGGACCCTGCACCCGTATGGGAGACCTGGAGGAGGCTCTGGGATTGGTGCAGCTCTGGCTTTTGTGGCCATTTGGGGAGTGAATCAGTGGACGGAAGATCTTCCTCTGTATATCTGATTTCCAATAAAAATTTAAAAAAATCTTTTTTTTTTTTTTTCCGTTCAAGGCATTCTAAGGTAGAGAGGCTGTTTCCACACGTGGCACTTCAGCCTGCTCATTTTTAATTCTGGGCATTCCATATAGCATTTTAGTGGTCAGCTGGGATTACTAGGGTTGACTGGGATGTCGAATACTCCTGTAGTATACCCTAAAGCTGGATGGAACAGAGTGGTCAAGGGTGGCATGTGCTTAGATTTAGAAAATCAATGGGATGATTTCCTCTGTCCTGGACCCAGTATCCCTGTAACGCTGTTACGGTTCCTGCCATTGATGGAGAACATGTGTTTGACTTGAAGTCTTTCCTGTTAAGTGTGGGACATCTTACCAGGTCTTGGTTTGCTGGAAAGCCTGTGATTTGTGCAGGCACTTACTGGATATTAGCATACTTGCAGTCCCAGAAGGCAAAAGAAAACAGGAGAACCAGGTAAGAGAGGGCATATTTATTGCAAAAGACGATATTTTGACTCATGGAGCACGGTAAATTGTATCTGACTATTGTGGTTAAATGGAAGTTGAATCAGATTATCTCTAGAAGGCATGCTAGATGAAGCAAATATCCTTTGATATTTGACATCAGTGTTATAGTTTGATATGATCTGTCAGTTAAATGGCAATTGGAGAGGTGGAAATTTAAAATTGGAGGGCACATACTTCCAACAGAGGGAAGATGGTAGCTTATAGAACTTTTAAGAATTCCCCTTACTTCAGATATTGACAACCATATTTGGCATATTTTGAATCCCTGACCATAAAAGAACTATTCTATATACCCTTAAGATTCTTAAATCATTTTGGTATATTCCTTGATGATGCTGTAGAAGTTACAGCACTGCCTGTATTAAGTGTTCATGGGCTTTCACGTTAGAAGAGCTTAGACTATTATTTATGAAGTCCTAGAAGTAGAGGGTGATAAAATATATTAAGTAGTACAATTATATACTGAAGAAATATTTCATAAATGAAGTAATAGCTTACATATCTCAGGTTAGGAAAAAAAAAACCTGTGGCAACATGCAGAAGCAAGAAACATGCAATCTTTAACTGAAACCTCACAGTTACTTTGGAAGAAGATAGGAGCATTTTCTTCTATAGCTGATCTTAGCCATAAGGCCGAGAAGCGATTTTTTTTTTCTGAGGGCCTACAGACTTTGGGGCTAGGAAGGGCCTATAAAGTTGATGCTGAAATACCTGACAAAGGCCTAGGTTGGAAGATGGGCCCTGAGACAGATGTTTCATTTTTTGCAAGGTTGTATTTGTGACTGGAATTTAACTATAGATCTTAGAAGTTCTGAAACGGACAGCTGTACCTCAGGCTTCTAGCCAGAAAAATTTCCTAGTAGTAGCCAGTGACAATGAGTTCACTAAGTTCCTGCCTGGGTGTATGGCAGGGATGGTTTTATGGATCTCTTACTTCCCTTCTATTACGTGTGAAATGTGTAGTGACAGTGTTGGCTTGCATTAACCTAACCTTGAGTTGTGGAGAAGACTTCTGACTAAGGCTTGGTTCATAGAGCTACTGCATGATAGTCTGTAAATGTCTCCTTTTACTTAAAGCTGCATTTAAAATTTTTATAGTGTTCTCAATTCTAGAATCAAACAGTTCTCTAAGTGAATATACGCTGTCATAAATCCATGCATCTAGGTATTCTAGAAGTGATATATTACTGATTAATACTTTATATACATATTTACCTCTAAAAATGAAAACATCAATAATTCAGAAGTTTTATTTAATGAAACTTATTAATACTTAATAACATCAATTGATTTATCTATTAACTAGCAGTTTAAGTTCTGTGAATCTTTTGAACATAGTAATAGTCTTCTCCTTCCTAATAAGTCTTCAGAAACCGATCAATGTTGACTACAGTCATTACCAAAACAAGTATCTCCCCATTAGCTAAAATGCCACATACTGGATAACTCTTAGTAAATTATCATATCACATCCAATATATATTCTTATTTCCCCAAACTAGAGACTTTATTATGAATTGCATGAAGAATACTCAATGCTTACTTTTTTTTAAAGATTTATTTCTTTATTTTATTGGAAAGTCAGATAGAGGAGGAGAGACAGAAAGGAAGATCTTCCGTCCAATGATTTACTCCCAAAGTGAGCACAATGGCCGGTGCTGCGCGATCCGAAGCCAGGAGCCACAAACCTCCTCCAGGTCTCCCACGCGGGTGCAGGGTCCCAAGGCTTTGGGCCATCCTTGACTGCTTTCCCAGGCCACAAGCAGGGAGCTGGATGGGAAGTGGAGCTGCCGGGATTAGAACTGGCATCCATATGGGATCCTGGCGCATTCAAGGCGAGGACTTTAGCCACTAAGCCACGCTGCTGGGCCCTCAATGTTTACTTTTGAAAAAAAGATTTTATATTTTTGGAAAGCCAGATATACAGAGAGGAGGACAGACGTCTGTTGGTTCACTTCCCAAGCAGCCTCAACGGCTGGAGCTGAGCCAATCCAAAGCCAGGAGCCAGCAGCCTCTTCTGGGTCTCCCAAGCGGGTGCAGGGTCCCAAGTCTTTAGTCCTCCTAGTCGGCTTCCCCAGGCCACAAGCAGGGAACTGGATGGGAAGCAGGGCTATCAGGATTAGATCCGGCGCCCATATGGGATCCCGGCACATGCTACTAGGTTACTGTGCCTGGCCCTTAATGCTTATTTTTGTCTATGAAATACAGCTATTTTGTAAGATATTTGCTTCATCTTGAGATAGTAAGATGAAGCCTAATTTTGTACAGGTTATCATTTAAAATATATTTTAAAGAATGTATCAAACTAGGCTTCCTGAGTTGTTGAAGCCTGTGATAGGGATGTGACAGATCAAGACAGAGGCCTTTAGTGGACATCTAATATGATGGAGGGCAGAACAAAGTGGGCAGTGTTCCTGGTCAAGCTACAACAGCAGTTATTTGGGTGAGTGGAGACTGTAAGGTGGATTACGTCAGCCAATGGACTTCAGAGGGATTTCCTCAACCTTGGAGCAAGGAAATCAGTAGCATCTCAGAACTATCGAAACCACTTAAGCAGTACCTTTGGAACATGCTCCACATTGGAGACCGTGGGATGACATCAAGAGGCCATCCCACACTCCCAGGTGCTGGTACAGTCAGGCTGCTGGGAGTGACCCTCTTGCTCCTCCCTCTCCCTTTGCTCCTGATACACAAAGAATGGAAACAAGACTGGAAACAGCTGTCTCATTCACTTTCCCCCATTCCTTGATTCTTGTCACCCTAATCGGTGGCTCTCATGGACATGCATCCTTCTCAAATATGCAGATATATATATATCTCCCTATTTTCAGTAACCTCACCTGCTAAGGAAATTCTTAAAGAAACTCCATTTATTTTAAACTGATGTTATAATGCATAAATAGCCTATTTTGGTGTTACAGAAGAAAATTACAAATGCTAATATAAAATGATTGAAAACATGAACAGTTTAACTGCATGAAAATTGATGGCTTGGTTTTCATGCCACTTTAAGAGCTGGAAGGAATATTTTTTTGCCTGGATAGACAGAAAATATTTTTTACATTCTTTATATTGTTGTTTCACAAGGCATTAAAAAATAATGCTTCCTCAAAGTAAGAAGCTTAAGGTTTTTTTACTTAAATGTTCATACAAAGGTAGCCCCTAGAATGTAGTACATTCATAATAAATTTAAATGAAACATTTTTGAATCTAACTTTTTTCTAGTCTGAAAATTTACCTATGGAATTTTTTTCCCATAGCCTATGTGGAGACTATGAAAGTGGAGCATTCACATGTAATTCCGTAGTCCAGTGTAAAAATTAGAAATCAATGTATTCTCAGACAGAAAAACCAGAAAAATAGTGGAAACTCATTCTGAGTAGTGAAAAGGAAACTAGACCAAGTTATTAAACTAGACCAAGTTATTAAAACCCATTATTGTTGAGGTAGATGTTTAAATACTCAATTTGTGAAGGTAAACTATGTCTGAACTGGAGTCAGATTCGTTACAGATAGACAGCTAGGGCATGCCAGAAAGGTCTTTCACAAATATAGAATGGCATTTTTCATTTTTTTTTCCTCTGACAAAACAACATCAGGAGATTAAAAATGCTATTTGCATGGAAAGCACTCCTCAGAGACATTTGGAGATAGTTTGGATAAAATAATGCTGAAACTAGCTTTATTAGTAATTTGAGTCTTTAAATATGGCAGAAGAAATTCACATGGATTAGTATATATTTTTCTACTTTATATAATAAATGGGATTTTACAAAATTTCTTTTATATACTGCTAAAAATATGTAAATGAATAT